ATCTATTTTATTTTCATACAAAATTAACTTTATTTATTTGTTGTATCATTGAAATGTTATATAATATGGCAGCCCAGATATGTTACTTTGGGGGCTACATTAGATATCCTAATGGGCCATTCCAGTTTATATATATCCGACCACATCAACAAGGGGGTTGCAGATATAAACTGGAATGGCCCAATGCAGCATGTGTTTGTGTAGTGTTCGTACCCCCTGGGTGTCATATACTATTTGAAGCAGCAAATGCTCATACCAAGCTTCATTATTTACAATCATCACACCTTGTTGCTTCGAATAAAGCATTAGTTCGTATTCCAAATGATTTTATAATGCCACCCTTGACTTTGTGTGCTATACTATAAACAAGTTGGTGAATACATCTTGAGATATTTTAAGATGACTGTGCACTTAAAAAATGTGCTGTTTCTGTTTTCTTCATACCACATTGGAACATGCTACATGATACTAATCTAATTAAATCTTCAGCTTTGTATAAAATGTTGCATGCAACATGTCAGGGGTACGGACACTACATTTGAGCATTAATTATGGCATAGTTTTTCATCCTTTTATGGTATATCTTGTTCATATACTGCATTTAAGTATGAGAAGTGGAACACACAAATACATGACTTTGATGGCTGAAAGTATACACCAATGTATGCTTTTCGTATTTCCATTTACCTGGTGAGGATATGCTGCCTTCCCAGTTGTGTCCATAGCATGGGCTACATATTAGTGATACATTTGTTATTTTTATAGCATAAATGGTGTAATTCTGAACGAGTTTAGTTAAGCCTGAATAAGAAGTATAAAAACCGTAACAAATGGTGCTTTTTACAAATGTTGTCATAGAGAACAGAAACTGCAAAACTTCTCTTAATAGTGAGCTTCAAACATCAAAAGACATTTTACATGAGATTCAGAAGGAACATTTATGTAGGATTTTTATAGCATAAATGATGTAATCTATTCATAATGTGTGTGTGTTTTCTCTCAAAATTAAAAAAAAATGCAAGTGGCTGCTCGTAACAGCCAAAAATAGCCAATTTGGGGTGCTAAATTCATTAATATCTTCGCCAAATATTAAGCGATTTCCACAATTTTTGTTTTGTTTTTATCGTCAACAAGGGGGCTTTTCCAGAGTATGATACTACCATTCTAAAAAGAAAAAAGTTTCATACAAGGAGCTTGTAACACTTCACGAATGCAAATGGTACGCTTGATTGTGAAATGGCCGATACCAAAGTACTGTTTCTGGCCTTTGTTTTTACTGTGATGGTTGCCAGGTGGTGATAATAATGCCCTGATGTAGGTCTGTTATCATAAAAGACACAATTCCATATTTATTTAGAGTACTACATATATAATATACCAACAACTTCATTCTTCTACCTAACTATATAGAAATGTATATAATTAATATACAATTTTGTACATATCTGCTATGACACTGCCTGCGAAAAAAGTAAACAAATATGAAGGTCCTTAGCAGACATGCTGAATTGTTAGAGTTATGATCATCAAGAATAACCATGGCCATATTATAGGAACCGTGTACACTTTTGCAAAGCCACGTCCAAACTGTGACTCAATGTTCAACACTTAGCCCGAACTTTGGAACCTTTCTGGATGAATAAAGTAAAAAAAAAAAAAATTTTAAAATTGATGTTGAACTGCAATTTGTTTTCCTAGGTGAAATCATGTCGTCCAGTGTTTGTACAAGGAATGCCATACCTGATGCATTGAGGTATCATCTAAGTCAACTTTACTCTGCCAGTGAGTACAAAGAGAATTTTATCTATACAATTGCATAGCGACTCACATTTATGCTTTGTCTTATTGCGTTGCATAGTGTATTTCCACAACGTCAAATATCACATAGCAATCAATTTCATGCAAGTCAACAGTACCGTAAAATCTGTATAAGAAGCTGCATCCCTAATAGAAGCCAGACCCATTCTTTTTGAACAATTGAGACCCACAAATTCACCATTTCTCGTATGTATCTTTGAGTGCTTCAATTTAAGAAATGACACCCATAAACAAAAAATACCAGCTGCTTCATAATTGATATAACTCATTAAGATACCTTTTCTGTTTTGTTTTCTACCCATTCCTTGTTCTCCCCATTTTATTATGTTTTCATTTTGTCTTGCCACTTTGTATGCATCTGAAACTTTATTGTATTTTAAAAATCCAGATCCTGAACAAGATACGATTTCAATAAAGGCTTTATTATTATGTGATCAATTTGGGGCAAAAATGTTTGTTTTTTCTGGTATTTAGATATGCATTGAACAATTTTGTTCAGCCTTATTACAAAAAAATTATAATGGAATATATATTTATTGGACGTTTAAAATTAAATCTATAAAAATGCAATTCTCACTTTCTTTTTTGTGTTATTTTTTAATCTATTTTAGTATCAATGAATTGATCTTGTGCGAGGACTGTGACACATTATATTTTGTTCTGTTTGTAGTAATTATTGAGACCATGTAAAGCCCATAATGGTAATGAAAGATGCTTTGTTCTGTAAACTTGCATTTTGGTGACAAGATTATTTTCCATCACGCGTAATAGAAGATGCTATACATTTATTTGTTGGACTGCTCCTTTACATCTGAATATTACGTTGCTAGCTAATCTTTTTTAGATGTGTTGTGATATACAGGTATATTTCTGTTCCAGAGTTCATGGTGTCAAGCTATCAGTTATTGCCTTTTCTAAGTGTAATGAATGAGATCAAGGTATATGGTAGATTAACCTCTCATTGTATATAATAGAAAATATCTTGCCAAAATCATATATCAAGCTGATTAAATGTCAATGTTTTAACAATATTAGTATGCATATCAATAATAATTTATTCGATGTCTTCAAGCTAAATTTTGAGATATTTGGAAATCACACTATTTTTTTTTTTGTATCCTGATGGCAAAATACAAATGCTTGATACAAAAGGTGTACATAAATTTTTCCAAATTAATAATATAGAACCGGATTCTGCCGTAAATTGGACGTTTTCACAGCTGGGGGGGTCCGTATTTTTTTGGGGAACTTCTATTTTCATTGAAGAATCCACCTATGCTGACTTTCAACGCCGGCAGTTGTACCATCCAAAACAAAAACTATTGCAGGAGATCTAAAATTTGATACCTTCTTTTTCTTGCTGAATTAAAAAGTAGACTGTGTAAAATTTCATTACTATGTCACCCAGAGTCAACTTTCTTCAAAAAAAATCACATT